TTTCTAGGTTTCTTCCGTTTTCTACACTGCTTCGTGTGCTCGGTAGTGAACCTACTGAAAGGAATGGTGTCCTTCAAACAAGTGTATTATTCTGACAGCGGGTTCAGAATTATTAGAAAGCTAATATATTCAGCAAGGTCAAGTGATCGGAATGCTTGGGTGGAGGCCGCTTTCGATCAGTAATATTAATGTATAATTAATATTACAGCTTAATCTTGACTGAACCCTTAGGGTCACACCCTAGCAAATATATGAACTGACTCGACAAATTAATTCAAAAGAAATTAATTCGTCGCCCGAGTATTAAATATTTAGATGTCGGAAATTCGAGCTTAGAGCGTCGAAATCGAGCGTCAGAAGTCGAATCAAAATAATAAAAGACGAGATACGAAAATAATAAATCAACAAGACAAAAATACCCCTAGCATCGGATTGCTTCGAGCAAACCGATTGCTAGGGCATTTGGTATAGCATGGTGGCTAGCATTCGCACCAAGCCGAGCCTAGGCTGGCTGGTGTGTGCTAGCGCTTCAATGCTAGCACAACATGCTAGCTGTGCTGGGCCAACGCGCGCAAGGTGCAAGGCACTCAGCTAGCAACCGCATTATTGATGCGCGGCTTGCTGGCCGAGTGCTGATGAGTGAAATTTATGTCACTCCTAGGATAGTGTTTATGCCTTGTTTTAGCTTTTCTTAGGGTTTTTTGTAGTTGTTTTGTTGGTGTTTTGTAGTTGTTTTGTTCAAATAATGTGTGCATACATGTCTCGATGTGTTTTTAATAAAATCGCGTATATTCTTGAATGCTTGCCTTCATTGCGTGTTTGTACCATTCCCTATACCTTATTGCTTCCCTTGGTGTTTGTGCTTAGGTATTTGAAGTCTTAGATTGCATAGAAGAAGCCAAGGAAGCATGAGAGAAGAATCGAAGAAAGCAAGGTGCAAGGGCGGTAACAATGTGCACGGGCGCGCGCTGGACTGTGCGGGCGCGCAGCCCTGTCAGAACCCGTGCAAAAGAGGCAAAATTGCAGAATCGAGGCAGAAAGTTTTAGGCGGCCAGCAGCCAGCCAGCAGCACGGGCGCACGCACCCAATCAGCAAGCCGCACAACCCTTGAATGCGCGCGCGCACAGGCCACTGCGCGGGGGCACAAGCCACTGCACGGGCGCACAGGCCCTTACGCTGGCTCATATATTTGTGTGAGGGCGCACAACGAGCCCCTGTTCAGTTTTTTTTCGCGACTTCCTTTATATTTGCGAGCCTTGTTTTTGTACGAGAGAACTTCGTTTTTCTTTAGATCTTTTTCCCTAGTTTTAGGAGAGCTTCTCTCTCTTAGGGTTAGATTAGGATGTTCTCTCTCTAGTTTAGGAGTAGTTTTAGAGAGAGAAAACTTGGATTTCCATGGAGTTTTTGAGCGGTTAAAGAAGCAACTTTGTGGAACTTCTTCTCATCTATTCAATGAGCATTTTCTAACTTTCTCTCATCTTTATTGCTTTGCTTAATTCTTAGTTTTTGCTTTTTGTTTGTTTATTTGAGTAGATTAATTAGTTTGTTTGTTTAATTTTGTTTTTATTCTTATTTTACCTTTTTTTCCATGTCTATCTTTATTATGTTAGCTTAAGTCTTGTTCTAGGGAATTGGATGGAGGTTATATTAATGAATTGAATGATTGATTGTGATTAATATGAAATTGTTTCTTGATTATTGTGTATGGATGATGCTTTTATGGATTAGAATATTTCTAGCTAATCGATTCTATGCTCTTAATTGTGCTTTCAACCAATTGTGCGAGAGTGAGTGGGTTGAGAGCCCTGAATTCTTCTATACCTTTGCTAGGCTAGTTGCACGAGAGTGAATTAGTTTAGTAGGATAATTAAGATGCTTAATTGTGCGAGAGTGAGTTAAATGTGTTGATGTTCCTAATCTAGGTCATTTTCATCTAATTGTATGATGTTGTTGAATGCATTGATGTAATTGGATTCCACTTTCCCTAGTTTTTGTTATTTGCTCTTAGTAGTGTTTGGTTTAATCTCTCTCTATCTCACAGCCTTTCCTACTAGTCTAATTTGCACAAATTGATACACTTAGTCTTCGTGGTTCGACCCTTTACTTGCCACTAACTAGCTTAGTGTAAGTTTAGGTATTATAAATTTCTAATTTGGTTAGGGTTATTAGTAGACCAACGACCTACTCTTACCTGGATCAAATTTTGGCGTCGTTGCCCGGGACTAAGGTGTTCATTAATTTGTGTTGATTAGATTAGCTAGGTTCTTGTATATTATTTGATTTTTGATTGCTTTTCTTTGTTCTTTGTATAAAAATGGCATGCTTATCTTTTCCTCAATTTGATGGTGAACCCTTTTATGCTTACTTTTAAAGAATAGATGGTTTACTTAGTTACCATGGGTGTTCTCTTAGTGATGATTGTGGTATAGATTATTGGGGAATGAATGAGTATACTAGGGGAATGGTTGAGGACATGAATAATGGTAGATTTTGTCATTTATATATGCATGGTGCTTGGAATTTCTTCACATGTCTTGCTAGGGATTCTTATGATAGAGAATCTTATGTTTCTTGTTTTGATTTTCAATGTCAAGATTCTTTTAATTTTTTCATGAATTCTCTTGATACTTCTTATGTGCCTTGTGATGTTCCAAATATGCAAGTTGACCCTTTTCCCCCATATGCTCATTGTGATGAGGTTTGTGTTAATTTTGATGATATGCAATTTGATTTTGATCATGAACCTCAACCCAATAACATTGATGCCCAAATTCTCTCTCAAATGCAATATCTCACCCAACAACTCCAAGAGCTTCAAGAGGAACAAAAATTGAGAGAAGTGAGGCTTGCCCAAGTGATGAGTGCTACGTTTGATTTAGATGGACGTGAGGCACCTCACTTGTAGTGTGAGAGTGTTGTTGAGGATGATGTAGGGACAGGGTGTGTAGGTGAGGGGAGATTTTCTTGTGATGAGAGGATTTTTGAGGATTTTGATCCTTTTCATTCCCTATTTGAGCTTGAATGCCATCCTTCCCCTTATTCACCCCCTTTGAGAGCTTCCCTTGGTGAGGATGTGAGTGAGCCATCTTCATGTTTGAATGAGGGATTTTATGAGGATGATGATGATGCGTTTGAGCAATCAAGAGAGATTGAGAGTCCCTTAAGTGGTGGTGGAGGAGTTGAGAATGAAGAAAATGTCGATTTTGAGGATTCCAACCCCCTTCCCCATCTTGGTGAGTCTACCTTGCATGTTGGTGACTAATGAGTGTCATTTATGGCACTCATAGGGTAGTCTTTTAGGATGATTTCATCTTCCTTTTTATGCTTTCTTATCTTATTTTTGGTTCTTTTTCCTTTAATCCCTTTCTTTCTTTCTTTCCTTGTGTTTTTCGTGTTTTCCTCGTGTTTCCCTTTTATTTGGTTCTTTTTCCCTTTTTATTCCTTTTCTTTGTTTGTCTTTGTAGGTACATAGGATTTGTCTCTGCAAGGGAATCAAGATGGGCTATATTGACTAAGCAAGGAGGAAATAATCGGCTCGGAGAGGGCTGAGAGAGGGCATGGAGAGGGCATCAAGCCCTGCCAGTCTGCCACGGGTATGAAGGTCGCGGGCGCGGGCTCTTTTTCACCAAATTGGCAGATTTTGACTATGAACTCTCCGCGGTCTGGCCGCAGGCTTCCCGCGGGCGCGGGTAGTTTAGAGAGCCCGCTCGTACCAGAGGGACCGCCGCCCTCTGATCACCCTTTGGGAGCAGGGGATTAGCCGCCCTTTTGCCGCAGGCGCGGGCTAGAAGACCTGCGGGCGCGGGTGTTGCCTAGGAAGCCCACGGAGTTTTTAATGGGTTCCGTTCCAATTTTTTCGCGGGCACGGGGTTTATTGGAGAGGGCGCGGGAATCCCATTTTTCTTCTTTGCCTATAAATACACTTGTTATTCCTTTTTGAAGACAACTTTTAGATAATTTTCATTAGCTTAATTTTAGAGAGAGAAGTTAGAGAGAAGTTCTTGGTATTGGATTTGTATTTCAACATTGGATCAATAGTGCTTGGATTTCTTCATTTTCAATCATTAATGTTAGTAAGATTTTCTTCTTCTAGTTCATCTCTTACTTGATTGATTTAGTTTCATCTTTGATTGCTTGTATTGCTTGGATTTGAATTGGATATTGTAGTTGATATTGCTTTCTCTTGATTTTGATTTAGAATGATGATCAATGCTAATTCTAGTGATTTGTTCTTGAGTTACACCATGATTAGTGAGTAGATTAGTTGCTAGGGAGAAGGGGAAGCATGCTTGATTGATAATTTGTGCTAGTTAATGATCTTTGATTGATTGAATTGTTGCAATTAAATTGGTTGACATAGTTTTGAATGTGATTAATTAGATTAGGAATGATCAACCAATAAGATTAATCTAGATTGCATTTCATTTCTTAATGACATGACCCATCAATTTGAGAATTTCTTTAATTGATTGAGTTTGATTGTTAATTTCCTTGATTAGCCATTTATAGTGACCCCTAGTTTGGCCACTAGGAGATAGCTCTTGGACTGTCTTGATTGCTACTATTGTTTGTCCTTAGTAATGCTTGAAACAAACGAAGAAATTGTTGATTAGCACGATTATTGAATTAGCATGTGGAACCGATATCCCTAGCATTTAGTTTATTGAATTACTTGATTAGTCTAATTTTGCTATCATAACACCAACTATTTTCTCACTTCAATCTCCGAAATAGCTTGATTTAGGCTAAAGATAACACCAACTTACTCCTTTGGGTTCGACCATATACTTACCTATACTTGTTTTAGGTTGGTTTAGGATTTAATAAATAGTGTTTGATTTTGGGATAGGCAATTAACGACTAGTTTATTCCTCTATCAAAATGGCGCCGTTGTCGGGGAGTGAAATTGGTGCTTAGCTTTAGTTGTTGAGTCTATTTCATTGAAGTTTCTTAAGGCTACATTTGTAGCCGTGCTACTAATATTTTCATTGAAGTTTTGCATGCATAGAGCTCGTGATCGATCCATTGTGCCTTTTGACCCGGAAATCAGAAGGACTCTTTCAAAGAGAAGAATTGCTAGTGGATCCTTTGAATTTAGTTCTTCGAGCGAAGAAGGATTTGAAGAGGAACTAGGCATGGGAGATCAACCTAGAGTTGCTTTGAAAGAATTGGGAATTCCCGGTGCGTACATGTTTGAGAGTAGAATTACTCCACCTACAACACCGGTGAATGACTTCGAAATTAGGCCAGCTATGGTCGCTTTGATCGAAAGGAGAAAATATAGCGTAGCTAAGAATGAGAGTCCGTTGAACCATCTCAAGGAGTTCGAAAAGTATTGCATCACTATCAAAGTGAACTGAGTTTCTCAAGAATTCATCCGGCTAAAGTTGTTTCCATTTTCTCTCATAGGCCGAGCCTTGGAGTGGTTGGATAAGGAGGTAAAGCCAAATTCCCTTCTAACATGGGATGAAGTCACCAAGGAATTCTTATCCCGATTCTACCCACAAAAGAAAACGGCGGAGGCTAGAGCTTTGATTCAAGGGTTCAAGCAAAGACCTAATGAAAGCCTCTACGAAGCATGTGAGAGGTATAAAGAGTACCAAAGGGAATGTCCCCACCACGGAATTCTAACTTATCAAGTCATTCAAATTTTCTATGGTGGCCTAAGTCCTCAAGGAAAATCATACCTCGATGGGGGTGCCGGAGGTCCCATAATGAATCGGACGGAAGAGGAAGTGGTGGACATTATAGAGGACGTGGTTAAGTACTATAGAGATTGGCAAGATAGTGAGAGGGATTTAACTAGTAAGAGTGGCTCTTTGGTGTACTCTATAGACCATCTAAATGCGATCAAAAACTTATCCTCACAAATGACAAACTTGGGGAAAGAAATGACCGCAATCAAGGCCAAGTTGGAAGGTTCCTTTTCTTCTCAAGCTTCGAATTCTCCCTCCCAATTTAAGGGGAGAGGTACCTTTTCTAACTCTCAACCCCCTCCCTCTTCAAATAATATGCCTTGTGGTTGCTTGTTTTGCGATGCATGTGGACCTTATGATCATGACTCTTGTAATTGCCCTCATGCTTCTCCGGAATGTGGTGATGATTTTGATAATAGTGAGAGTGAGCATGTGAATGATGTGTCAAATAATAATGAGCAAAGGTTTGATAATTAAAGAGGTCAATGGAATAGGAATTACCAAAACCAAGGAAATTTTGACAACTATAACCAAGGTGGTGGTTATAGGAACCAAGGGAACCAAAGTTCTCGTGGTAACTATAACAATTAAAGTTATAGTAGTCAAAATCAAAACCAAAATTATGGTAATCAAAACCAAAGTTATGGAAATCATAACCAAGGTAGTGGAAACAATAATCAAGGTTATGGCCAAAATCAAAATAGGGGTAATTGGAACAATCAAGGTAGGGGCAATTTTCAAAATAATTCTCAAAGAGGTCCCCCACCCGGATTTGTTCCAAAGACTCAAGGTGAAAATTCCTATTCATAATCTTCTTCTTCTAGGACCAATTTGGAGGAAATAATTGAAAATAAAACCAAGTTGTTGAACACATATATGGCCGTTAGTGACAAGAAGTTCAATGAAATGATGACCCACAACAAAATGCTCAAAAACCAAATTTCTCAACTTGCTAGTTCTTTGAAAGACCAAGCAAGCCCTTCTTCTTTACCTTCCCAAGGCCTAGATCCCAAGAAACCCGTGAATGTTATTGTTACAAGGAGTGGTAAGGTTCTTGAGGAGAGATTGCCAAGGAGGAGTGATAACAAGGAGGTCCCCAAGGAAGTTTTGGTTGAGAATGAGGGAAGTAGAGCATCTTTAGATGAGGTTGTGGTTGAGACACCAAGAGAGGTGAGAGTGGAGAAAGAGATTGTGAAACCCAAGCTCCCTTATCCCCAAAAATTCATGAGACACAAATTGGATGAGAAATTTGGGAGATTTATTTATATGCTCAAACAACTTCACCTTTCTCTACCTTTCACCGATGTGATCAACCAAATGCCTAATTATGCCAAATTCCTCAAAGACATTTTGAGCAGAAAGAGGATTTGTGATTGTTGTGGAGACAATAAATTTGACTGAAAATTGTAGTGCGATCATCATGAACAAAATGCCACCTAAGTTGAAAGACCCCGAAAACTTTTCCATCCCTTGTGCTATTAACAAGATGCAATTTGATAATGCCTTATGTGACTTAGGAGCTAGTGTAAGCTTAATGCCATATTCGGTTTATCAAAGACTTGATCTAGGGGAACTCTTACCTTCTAACATTACCTTGCAACTAGCCGATAGGTTAATCAAGTTTGCAAAAGGTAAAGTGGAAGATGTTCAATTGAGGGTTGGGAAGTTTGTGTTCCCGGTGGATTTTGTTGTTTTATAAATGGATGAAGATGCTACCATTCCAATTATTCTAGGTAGACCCTTTCTTGCTACATCGGGTGCTATGATAGATATAAAGTGTGCAAAGATTTCCCTAAAGGTAGGAGATGAGGTCATAGAATTCAATTTGAATGAAAGCATGAAATATCCAAGTTCTTCTCTTGAAAATTGCATGATGATTGACTCTCTTGATCATGTTGTGTCTTCCGTGCATGAGCACTTGCTCACCTCTAACGATGCTCTTGAGAATGTTTTGTTGAACAAAGACAAGCTAGGTGTACCATGCAAGGAGGTAGCATTGTATGAGGAATTGCTTAATGGAAGCATGGAGGAAGTGGATGAACAATTGTGCTTGAAGATCCCAAGCCATGAAGCTTTGCAAGCGGCCGCAACAAAATAAGGTAAAGGTGTGCCTATGGTAGAGCTCAAACCTCTACCATCACACCTTAGGTATGAATTCATAGGCCCAAATTCCACTTACCCCGTAATTGTTAGTGCATCCTTGAGCGAGAGCCAAGCTTAAGCGTTATGTTGTGTCTTGAGAAAGCACCAAGGTGCTTTGGGCTATACTATCGATGATCTTAAAGGTATAAGCCCCGCTTTGTGTACGCACCACATAACGCTTGAGGAAGGCACCCTTCCGCCTATTGAACGACAAAGAAAGCTACACCCTCAAATGGGAGAGGTGGTGAAAAAAGAGATCACCAAGCTCTTGGATGCGGGAATCATATTCCCCATCTCAAGCTCTAGGTGGGTTTCTCCCGTTCATGTCGTTCCTAAGAAGGGGGGTATGACCGTAGTCAAGAATTAGAGTGGTGAGCTCATTCAACTAGGACGGTCACCGGTTGGAGGATGTGTATAGACTATAGACGTCTAAATACATCCACCAAAAAGGATCACTTTCCCATTCCATTCATTGATCAAATGTTAGAGAGACTAACAAGGCACAAGTTCTATTGCTTCCTTGATGGCTATTCGGGATTTTTCCAAATTCTAATCCACCCAGAAGATCAAGAGAAGACAACATTTACATGCCCCTATGGGACCTTTGCCTATACGAGAATGCCCTTTGGCCTTTGTAATGCCCCCGCAAATTTCCAAAGATGCATGATGAGCATTTTTGGAGACATGTTGGAGGAAGAAATGGAGGTATTTATGGATTATTTCTCCTTAGGTGGGGTTTCATTTGAAGAGTGCCTAGTTAATCTTGAGAAATGTTTGGCTCGGTGGGTAATGGTTAATCTTGTCTTGAATTGGGAGAAATGTCATTTCATGGTACAGGAAGGGATAATGCTTGGGCATAAGATCTCTCATAAAGGAATAGGTGGATAAGGCAAAAATTGAGGTTATTGAGAAGCTTCCACCTCCGGTGAATGTCAAGGGAGTGAGATCATTTTTGGGTCATGCGGGTTTTTATAGAAGATTCATCAAGGATTTCTCACTCATTGCCAAGCCCCTTAATGATCTTCTTCAAAAAGATGTTGAGTTTGTTTTTGATGATAAATTCTTGGAAGCATTTTAATAGATTGAAGAAGGCCCTAATCTCTACCCCCATTGTTCAAGCCCCAAGATGGGATCTACCCTTTGAATTGATGTGTGATGCTAGTGATTGGTCAATTGGAGGTGTTTTGGGACAACGAGTGGACAAGAAGCTTTATGTGATTTACTATATGTCCAAGACACTAAATGGGGCCTAAAAGAATTACACAACAACGGAAAAAGAATTCTTGGCCATTGTTCACTCTTTCTAGAAATTTCGGTGTTATTTGTTGGGTTCCAAGACCATTGTCTTCACGGATCATGAGGCTCTCAAATATCTCTTTGCCAAGAAAGAGTCCAAGCCAAGGTTGATTCGTTGGGTTTTTCAATTACAAACTTTTGAAATAGAGATTAGGGATAAGAAGGGTGCGGAAAATGTTGTGGCGGACCATCTTTCTCGCCTTGAGGGTGATCAAATTAATGATGATGGTCTACCAATTGAATATAGAATGCTTGATGATGTCTTGTATTCCATTAAGGTTAAGGATCTCCCATGGTATGCCGACTTGGTGCACTTTCTAGCATATGGGGAGTTTCCACCTTCTTTCTCCAAGAACCAAAAGAAGAAGCTCAAGAGGGAGGCAAGACATTACTTGTGGGATGAACCAATCTTGTATAAATGCAGGGTGGATGGCTTTCTTCGGCGTTGTGTCCCGAATGAAGAGGTACCAAGTGTTCTAAAGATGTGCCATTCGGATCCAAGTGGCGGTCATATGGGCGTTTCAAAAACCGCCACTAAGGTTCTTCAATGTGGTTTGTGGTGGCCACATCTCTTCAAAGATTTGTGGGGCTTTGCAAAGTCATGCGACCGATGTCAAAGGGTTGGGAATATCTCCAAGAGGAATGAGATGCCTCAACAGCCCATTCTTGAGTTATAGGTGTTCGATGTTTGGGGGATTGACTTCATGGGACCATTCCCATCTTCATATGGTAATCAATTCATACTTGTGGGTGTGGACTATGTTTCTAAATGGGTTGAGGCCATTTCCTCCCCTTCTAATGACCATAAAGTAGTGTTGAATTTGTTCAACAAAATCATCTTTCCAAGGTTAGCCAGTCTCGTAAGTCAGCGCCCAACCAGGCACTCCCGCGAAAGCGGTCCGCAGGTGTGCAAAGCTGCCTACGATAACGTATTATGAGTTAGTTGAACTCTCCAGTCTTTGGCATCATGTAGATTAGAGTGCGCACACAGGGTAAGCACTGCTGAGGCTAGCTAATATCGTACCTCGGTTTGCTATTAACCGATTTTCTCTGTTTGTGTTTATGCTTTGCGCTTCACGCTCTGCTAGCATAGAGTCGTTGTCTAACCTCCTTGGGAGAGAGTGATTCTCTGTTACCGCTTATTAGAACATAGGAGAAAAGCACTATGCTGGCGTCATGAGTGGTAAGACAATCATACACATTCTGACCTGAAAACTCCTTCTAAGCCCGGCCTTAAGAAAGAATCAAAGGTGAAATGGGCCGTCGTAGCGGGACTTCTTTGGGAAAAAGAACTTGAATAACTTTGTTTTTTTGAAGGCTATGTCATTTACAACCGCGGCGTATTTCGGATGCTTGAAGGCCCCGCTGACCCAAAGTGATTTAGAAAGATTCTTTTTTTGTCGATGGTGATCGGTCATGGTATCCATAGCGTTGCTTCTTTTTTGGCCAAACCCTGATTTCGTTTTGCTTTTTCAGGTCGTCGAGCCTGATCGACTCGACTCTTTTCCCGGCCCTTCGGCCTCTCACTTCGTTTCGTTCTTCTTTTCTACCCTTGCTTGAATAAAGACACTCGATCGAGCCGACTTTCTTAAATTCCCACCACCGGCTCTTCATCTTTCCGGGTCTGGATTTTTTGCGTTGTTTCCGTTGTTGTGGTCCACGAGGAAGAAAGAAATTAATGAATGTTCTTTTTTGAAAATGTATAATAATACACCTACCGAGGCGAAAGCCAAAGGTAAGTCTCGTAGGTGGGCGTATCGAACCAAAATAAGATCTCAGATTGATATCTTGATATACTAATTTACCAAAATAATAATCACTAAACCAACAGGAATCTGAACTACGATTCAGATCAAGTCTTACCGAAATCGGATTTCCTTTTCGTGCCATATATGCTTAGGCTTTACTTTTTCCCCCTTTTCTTCCCGGTTCCATTTTTTTTAAGGTCTTCGTTTCGAAAACACTCATATCTTATATATATTATATGATTCATGATTCTTTTCGAACAAACTGAACAAAGGGATGACCCGGTCGTACTATTCCCAACCTTTTTTGAACCTTTCTTCTCTTAAGATTTTTGCTACTTCCTTTTTCTTTTTCAATTCGCTTCAGTTATTTACACCCAATTCTGATCGATCTCAATAGATATTGGTTGAAACGGGCATATAAGACTGGATTAGCCAGTCTCAATTAACCATCAAACTTTGTCTTTTCAAACTAGCGCCCTATATGACGCTAGTGTGCGTGGGGGGGAGGTCACTCCTTCGCTGAACTACCCTTATGTGCCACCCCAACAAGGGTCGGTGCCATCTTGGGGTGGTGACAACCTCCCCACGTACCCATATTGGCCCGGGGTTGCGAACCCCGATGAGCCAAGGCGTGACTTCCCAGATGAGTCCAGTCATTATGAATACCGGGTCCCGGGGGGGAGTGATTATCGGGGTGACCCCGACTATTACTATGTTCACGCCACTCACCGCGAGCTCTGTATGCAACCGGGCCCTTTTGACCAATTGTCCACATCTCAACTTGACCTTTTTAAGGGTCGCTATGGGTTCCCTCCCGGTTATACCGGAGGTTGGGATGTGGATGATGGTAGTGCCGGCCCTAGTGGCCAATAGTTTCCCCCTTGGTTGTTTGATTCCTTTTTTGTTTCCTCCCTTTTAGCTTTGCATGTTTTTAAGCATCGCAGTCGATGCCCTTATTTTGTACAGGGGGAATCAAATAGGATGTTTTAGGGTAGGTTTTTGGGGAGGCACCTTGGACTCTTGGGGATGTGTTTGAAAGGGCTTTGATGGATTTCTTTTGCTTCGCTCTTGGTAGTCTCGTTGGTATGTTGTCTATCTTGTTGTATTGGTTTTTGATGATGTTGTTTTGTGGTCCCTTCTATTCATGATGATGATGGTTTCTCTAAGTCTAATTTTTTTTATTTGTCGCCTGTTTTGAGCGGCTGTTGTAAGGAT